AGAGAAAAAAGGTATGGTGCCACCATTTGGGACTAAAACAGAAGGCTTTTCAGGAAAGATGTTCTTAAGAAAACTATCAGCCACTAGACTCCTGACCAGGAAACTCAGGGGTGGGGTTGGAGTAGAATCTAGAGAAATCAACATGACCCGGAAGAGGGCCCTCCAAAGAGGTAAGGTCTTAAAGGCATGTTCAAAAAACCAAAAGCAGAAAGCTACAGGAGTCACACCAGTGAGACCAGCACCAGGAAAGCTACAGTCAGCAAGGTAATAACCATCAAAAAGGTTGTTTTTAAATATTTTGTTTAGAGCAAGAAAGAGTAAGAATGCATAGCACTCATGACTTAGGAGTGATGACCCTAACCAGGGATTGGCAAATGTTTTCTGTAAAGGGCCAGGGAGTAAATATTTAGGATTTGTGGGCCATCCGGTGCTGGCTGCACACACCTGACTCTGCCATTGGAATGTGAAAGCAGCTACAAACCATCTGTAAAGGACGAGGCATGGCTCTGTTGCAATGTAACTTAATTTGCAAACACTAAAGTTTTTCATATAATTTTCACATGTCCCTAAATATTACTCTTTTTATTTTTGCCCAACTATTTAAAAATATTAAAACCATCCTTGGCTTGCAGGTCATACAAAACAGGCCGTGGTTGTGATTGGGCCATGGACTTTAGTTTACCGACCTTAAGCCAGATGGATAACAGAGTGAGCCAAGCCAAGTGACCATCATTTTATCTTTTTAGGGAAACGCATCTTCAAACCCTATAGAGTGACACAGTGACGGGAGAAGTGAAGAGCAAGGAAGGCAGGGAGGAGGCTTGGGCAGCCGGCTGCTTGCCTGCTCAATCCACGTCCGTAGGGCCAGCAGGACGTAAAGGATGGTGCTGGAATTACAAACAGTGATCTATGAGGAACTTGAGTGAACAGGTAATTCAGGGCACTGGATAACGGGGGAGGGGGGGAATCATATTTTCTAAAAGGGACAATAAGAAAATTATTGTTCTGTGGTCTGGAAGTGATCTACAGTAAACTTCGAAGGCTTATTATGAGTCAGGCGGCTCGTGAGCATTCAGGAGAAAGTGGCGACCCTGCAGGCGGGCAGCGTTTACCAAGAACACGCCACACTCACACCAGGTCTAGATATATATATATATATATCTATATATATATCTATCTATCTATCTATATATATATATATATATATATATATATATATTTTTTTTTTTTTTTTTTTTCTTTTTTAGACAGAGTCTCGCTCTGTCACCCAGGCTGCAGTGCAGTGGTGCAATCTCAGCCCACTGCAACTTCTGCCTCCTGGGTTCAAGCGATTCTCCTGCCTCAGGCTCCTGAGTAGCTGGGATTACAGGCACCCACCATGACGCCTGGGTAATTTATGTATTTTTAGTAGAGATGGGGTTTCACCAGGTTGGTCAGGCTGGTCTCTAACTTCTGACCTTGTGATCCACCTGCCTTGACCTCCCAAAGCGCTTGGATTACAGGTGTGAGCCACCATGCCCAGCCCCAGGTCTATATCTTTTCTTATTACAAAAGCAACATGTGCTATTATGGAAAATGAGAAACTGCAACGAGGCTAGAAAAAGAAGAAAGTCCCAAGAAAACCACTGTAAACACTTAGGCATGGACCTTTCCAGACCTTTCCATGTATTTTTTTGTTAATTTTTAAAAATTACTTAATTTTATTTTTAAGAGATGAGATCTCTCTGTGTTACCCAGGCAGGAGTCCATGGGTATTACCAAAGGCCATCTTAATAGTGCTTTATAGCCTTGAACTCCTGGTCTCAAGGATCTTCCCTCCTCAGTCTCCCAAGCAGTTGGGACTACAGGCACGAACCACCACTCCCAGCTTAGATGCACTTTTAAAAACGAGATCACACTCACATTCTGGCTTGCTACCTGTTTTTCTTTCCACTTAACAATATTCATATATGTCTGTTAATCTAAGCCATCACTTTTTGGATGGCTGAAAAGTTAAGGTACTGTACAGATATTTTGTAATTTGACCATTCATCTTTGTTTGGGACATTTGAGATCTATCCACCCCCCACCCCTGTCTTGAAGTATTATTTTTGGGAAGTGGTGGTGCTTATCCTTGTGGATGAATCTTTTTGCACATCTGTTTTTTCTAGGAGATACTGGCAGGACAAGTGTGAGGATGGATGCTGGCTTCATGGCCTCTTGGATTAGGCTACAAGAGAGCAGAGCGCAGGACACAAGCATCTCAGGATTTCAGCACTGCGTCAGAAAGAGCTCCTCACCCCACTTCTGTGGGCAAGAGAGAGATATGGACTGAACCATGTAGAACAGCCGGCAAATGTTGGCTTGCAGAATGCACAGTATCCCAAATTGCTGGGTGGATGTGAAAGAACAGGAAGACAGAGCCCAGCTTAACGAGGGGGGATCTCACAGGGATGGGTGGGCTGGTGGGAAGTGATGGCCCCAGACACTGAAGGCATTCAAGCAGCAAATCAGGATGACTACCTGGCCCAGGGGTCTGGGAGGGTATTCCTGTGCAAGGCAGACAGGAGGCTAAATGCTTCCTTCCTTCCATAACCTTCCATAACCACATCATAAGCACCGCTGTGTGCCAGGGATGGGACTACATACAGTCTCCACTGGTGTCTCTTGCAACTCTGAGCCACACTCACCCTTTTCAGGCATGGTGGGAGCGAACTGTCTTAGTGAAAGGTACAGGAAAAGGGACTGCTAGCAGGTATGCCACTGAGAAAACACTGAAAAGTTAATACACTTTAACAACCACACACACACATTAAGTGTAGGCTGTTTTTCAAATTTCTAATTACACTGTTTTGAAATCTACTTACCTTAGGAAGGGACGGAACACAAGGGAGCAGTAATCGAATTACTTCAGGAGGGACACAGAGCATGCCAGGGGTCTGCACCAAAGGCTCAGCTTCTGAAGTGTGCAGTGAACCCATGCCAGGGCCAGTTCAGAGGCAGAACGGTTTGATGATTCATTTCATTATCAGCAGAACTCCAGCTATCAAGGCATCGGTACTGGGCAAGGGCTAGGGCCTGGGGCACACTTTCCCTTAACTGTTTTTGGAAGAAACCATTGGAAACACTAACTTCACAATACCAAACTGAGATAGGCCATTCTGTGCCAAATACTGTTCATACGGGGGTGGGGGGGGTGGTCTCTGCTCCCTTCTAGCCAGAACGACTCGCAGGCAGGCTGCCAGTGGGTGGGCGGGCAGGCTTCCCAGTTGCGCCATAGTTGCCCAGTGCTGAGTTTGCAGGCTTTATGAAGCCAGGAGATCCTGCGGGGTATTTCTGGCAGCAACACAACAAAGCGGTCCTGGACCCTGGCAGAGCAATTTGGTGCTTGCAGCCGCTGAGGAGGCCTGAAACTGCCTGCTGCCATGGGCTGTAGCCTCAACTGCCTCTGTTTGGAAGATAAAATCCAATTGACTGCCACTTACATAAATGTAACAGGAAGTTTCTGAATGGCTTCCCCTGTGTCTTGAGGCTGTTACCTTGGTATTGCTAAACTAACAGCTGAAATGAACCCAGACAACACCTCATCAAAGCTGCGGGGCGAGGAAGCCGCGGTCCAGAGGCAGACAGCAGTGTTCCTGCCAAACCACAGGAGATTTCACTCTGTGGCTCTTTCCCGCAGAAACGCCAACAGCTGGGAAAGCCATCAGAGAGCAGGTAAAGTGGGTGCAGCCTAACGCTGTGGCTGGAAAAAGATTTGCGAGCTACAGAAAAGAAGTCATCCGTTTTGATGGAGCTTCCCTTGTGTGCTTTCTGAACAGGGATGCCCTGCTGGATTCCACAGACCCGTTCTGCACCTCTGTGCCACTAAGCATCTGGGGAAATATTCAGCTTTTCTACAAAATAGGTCATCTTTCCACACTTGTTATGCTCCTTGTCGACTCTGCTGAAATAGCCACAGCACAAAAGAAATTCTCCCTGGAGATGCTGTTCTTAGACAATCACATTCCCTGTCCCCTTGGAGAGCCTGGCTCCTGGAGTGGAGCCAGGGACGGGGGCTTAAGAACATCCGCATCCCTCCCCTTCCCAGCAGGAATGTCACCCAGAAGTGGAACAACTGGCTTTTGCTTATACTTCCAAACCTATTAGGGAGTGATCATAACGAGAAAAACTAATACTGACAAGAATTATGCCATTGTTCTATTTCATCTATTTAGTAACCTGTAGTTGCAATTTTTAGAAAAAAGATTACCTTTTAAATAACCGATTCATTATGGTACATGAATGAATGCCATGTTCCTGTGTTCAAAATGTCACTCACCATTAAGGGTGTGTGCTGGTAAGTGGCACCAATTTGCCACTTTCCCCTTATACACAAACACCCCTGACTGGCGGCCCAGGATAATCGGAGGCGAGTTTGTGGGTTTTCTCGGCTCTTAGCAAGTCACCTGCACTGCCAAGCACCTAATGAATCTCAATTCTGTAATAAGGCTTGTAAGTTTTCCCCTCCCTGGGTGAAGGTGAAAAGGAAAACTAGAACTGATGAAGTTCCTGCCAAGGTAACACTATCAATTTCAAGGCCGAGTTCAGAAACCACAGACTCATACTCCAGGGGTGTGAGGGGAGACCGCCAGTGTACCCTCTGGCCACAAACCTGGCTGTGAGAAATGAGAGGTGAGGACAGACTTGGATATGGGAGGGTGAGCTGACCGGGGCTCAGCTCGGCACTGCTCCTGAGGCCCCGTGGGAAGCCTGCCCGGGTCTGGCAGGTGAACAATGTGCCAAGTATTCTCTGGAAACCTCCCTTCAAGCCTGTGAAATCCACACATTGTTTTTCATCATTAGTTTCAAAACATGCTGAGTATTTGGCCCTTCTCTACGTGCCGTGGCGACACAAAGGAAGGTCTGGTCCCTGCAGGGAACAGGCCCCTGGCAGGAAGAAAAGAGAGGTAAGGAGACAGGTCGCATGAGAAGACAGACCGTGTGGAAGGAGGTGGTGCTGCAGCAGTGGCCTTACATACCTGATATGGCATATAAATTGGAGTGCTGGTACTCGTAGTCCGTCCGGGTGCTGTTCCTGCCTCGGAAGGTGGCAGGAAGCGTTAGGGAAATGTGCCTGTGGAAGAGACGGAGGAGAGAAAGGAGGTTACAAGGAGTATTTCCCAAGACTCAGGAAGCACCAACACCATCAACAGCTGAAATGCAGCACAGAGCAGCAGGCAGAGCAGGTGCTTCTGGCCAGCGCCTCCTTCTCAATCAAGCATGATTCCTCCACTGGGCTGAAGTCCTCTTAAGAAATTTGGAAGTTTCTGGACAGCAGCAGCCACCTTTTTTCCATACTGGAAAGGACATCCACGAGGGAGAAAGTGTGTCCCAAGCCTTACAACATGCCCAAGAGACTGTATGGGGTGGCAATTTGATCCAGATTTCTGCCCTCTGGGTAAAATGCACCAGCGGACCAACACCCAGGGGCTGAACACCAGCCTCGGTTTGTTCCATGAGCCATACAAATGCTTCCATTCCTAGGCCACAGGTCTGCTGAGGATCACCGCACATGAAGCACTTGGTAAATAAAGGTATTGGGAATTATTATTACCATATGAGTCCAGAAGACTAATGACCTCTGAAAATCAGAATGACACATTGCTCTGAACTGCTATGTCATGTGTTCCCCCTCAGCCAGCGCACACAGTAGGTGCTCAGGAAAGCACATTCCAGACCGATACAGCACAGTCTCTGATGGCTCAGGTGTGAGCCATTAAAGCTTACAAAGAACACACAGCCTAAGTGAGCATTTAGTCAAAAGTAAATAAGCCATTTGGCATGGTCACCAGCTGCCTGTAGTGAATGCTGAAAAGAAAAATTAAACAAATAGGAAAAGTATTTAAATCCCAACAGGTCTGGGGGAAAAGACAACAACAAAACCTCTTGGTGGGATGATTGGGGACTGTGCTGCAATAGTGCAGAAGCCTAACCTGTGGCACCCCTGGTCATTTCTGAAAGGGAAGAGACTGCTAGAGGGAACACTTATTACAAAGTAGTGGTCAATTACTGGGTGCCTTTTTCACACAGCACATGTGTGACCTTCTAGAATGGCTGCTGTGCATAAAGACTCCTGGGAATGCCAGGCGTGGTGGCTCACGCCTGTAATCCCAGCACTCTGGGAGGCCGAGGCAGGTAGATCACCAAAGGTTGGGAATTTGACACCTGCCTGGCCAACATGGTGAAACCCCATCTCTACTAATCCCAGCTACTTGGGAAGTTGAGGCGGGAGAATCACCTGAACCTGGAGGCTGAGGTTGCAGTGAGCGGAGATGACACCACTGCACTCCAGCCTGGGTGACAGAGCAAAACTCTGTCTAAAAAAAAAAAAAAAGACTCCTGGGAGGAAAGGCTCCCCAGGGAGGGGCTGTTCCCACAGGGCCAGGATTGAGCTGCAACCAGAAGGGCCTTCCACGGGCAAGGTGAGCACCAAGGGCTGTGGAGGCACTGGGTCTGCCAGCCACAGAGTGAGCGCTCATGGCAGACACTCAGCCACAGACCAGCCAGGCTGAACCAAGCACCAACTGTATGCTCTGGGCTTTGGGGAATCAGCAGACACACGTACAGCGAGCGTGTCCACGGGTTCACTGGCGTGCGTGGAGGGAACCGGAATATTCTGTGTGTTACTGCTGCTGATTAAGGGTATAGAGGTGAGCTCCCTCAGCTTAGGTTGCAGGGAATAAAGGTGCAGAAACAAATCAAGGTGCAATGTGACACGTGATTGGAGAACAAGAAAAACTGAGTGTTGGTGATCATGAAAAGAAGGAACGATATATTCTGTTAAAGGGAACGAGGCTTCAGTACCCCTCAGGGTGTTATGGGAGTGAAAGGCACCCCACCAGGGAGTCAGAGAGAGCCAGCACTTCCCCATAGGGTTAGGGCACACGTCAGAAGCGGAGCGAGAAATGCAGGCAGGGCCAGATGGAAAGGACATCAAACACCACTGCAAGAGGCTTGCGTTCAAACTCCCAGGATGGAGGTTTCTAAACTCCCATCCTGGCATTAATGAAGGCGTTAGTCACCTGGGAACTTGCTCCAACACACACTTGCAGGCCCTAACCCTGGGGAGTCCTATTCAGTGGGCCTGGCCAGGTGCAGCCCAGAAATCTATTTTTAACAAGCTCCAGGGGTGAATCTGGAGACTGGCCGGGTCTGGGAACCCTGTGAGGGTGAGGAGCAGCTGCAGAAGGGTTTTCAGCAGTTGATCAATGTCTCTGACCACAGCACTTAGTTAATGAAGCTGAGCGAACAGAAGAGTAAATTATCGACTGTGGTTGTGGTTGAGCAGAACTAAAATGATGACAGGTGACCCTGCTGAGAGTGTCACCAGGTGCCAACCCTGAGAACGTAGATGTCACACAGCTTCCTATGGCTCCTCACAATGCCCCTTGAAGCAGGTATGGGAGCAGCTACACAATGTGCTGGGCCCAGTGCATGTTGAAAACGCGGGGCCCTTATTCAAATGCTATCAAGAATTTCAAGATAGCAACAACAGAGCATTAACCCATGGTGGGGCCCTTTTAAGCAAAGGGCCTTGTGTTTGTGACTAAAAGGACCCGGGGTGGGTGCTGTTATTTCACTCACTGTACCAATGAGGGAATTTCCAGGAGCCAAGAACGTATTCTGCTCCATGGCTGCCAGATTAAGATTTCTAAGCCTTTAACAGCCCTAAAAAGGTGCATGCAAGCTAACTAAGGATGCAGAGTGAGTTGTGCAGTGCAGTGAATACTCCAGGGGCTAGAAGCATTCAGGGAGGCTCTGAGAGGAGGCGGGGGCCTTAGCAGAACTTTGGGAGCCAGGTGGACATGGATGATGGCAAAGAGGCTGGCCAGGAGGCAGAGGAGAAAATGGGGCCAGCTGAGCTGTTGGGTGGTCAAATATGCATCAACACAGATCTGTGAGGGACTCAGTGGTGGCAGGACAGGCAGGGGGGACATGAAAATATCCATGAAGTCACCTGAACACTTGCTTACAAGTGTGATCATTTCCTATGGAAAGTGGGAAGACTCAAGTGCTATGAAGAGCAGGGTAGGAGGAGACTCCCTGGACAGCTTCCTGGAGGAAGGAACATTGAGGTGGGAACTGAGGATAGGCAGAAATCAGAGAGATGCGGCAGGGAGGCGGGGTGTGCACCTGAGGCTCTGTGGGGAGTCTGACCTCCTCCAGACTTAGGAGGAAGCCAGGGTGGCCAGGCCTAGAAGGCCAGGTAGAGGTTGGGGCCAGGCCATTGATGGTTTTGGGGGCCATGCTACGTGGAACACAGCATGGCTTCTGCCTTTCTCTGGAAGGATTTTTAAGCAGAAATGTACCAAGATCCAAATTACAATTTCAAAAGCTTGCCCGTCTGTGGGAGGAAATAAAATTAAGATGCCAGTGTGGATGGGAATGGTAGCAGCAAATGATGACAGTTGTTCATGAGCCTACTATTACTCACCACCTACTTTGTGCAGAGCCTTCATTCCTGTCAACATGACCTGCCACAGACCCTCTACGTGGACAGTTTCGGAGAAATTTAGGACTTAAAAGAAGTATATGAGCAATGGCAGCAACGAAAAAGTGTATAAACAACAGAAAAATCAAGGGGCCCAGCTCTTCAGCTACCCCATGCAACACTGATGTCCAGGGCCACACTTTCTTGTCCCTCCAGGGCCTCACATTTTGTCTGGCTCATTCTGCAACTCACCCCCAACCCCAGGTTCTCTTCCCTCCTTGCAGATGTTTCTTTCTGCCCCCACCTCACTCCCACCTCACCTCCAACCTTTGCAAGGCTGCTGTTTGCAACGGTCCTGGCTTAGCTGTCTTCTCACTCTGCACACTTCTACATCCCTGGCACACCAGCTCACCTTCCAGATTCTGCCTCTTGCCACTACTTACTTCCCCTCTCCTCCAGAAAGAGTGGAAGTCTTGCCAATCTCTGAACAGGCCTTGTTTTTCTCAAGCCTAGTTCTTTATCCATGCCACTCTCTCTTCCTAGGAATCTCCATTCTTCCTTGCCTACTCTTCAAACTCCTATTCATACTTCAAGACCCCACCCAACCACCCCCTCTGTGACAAAACCTTTCCTGGGATTGCCCCAGGCCAGATCAGGTGCCTGAGAGTTTTCTCTCACCCCACTCCAGGTATCACAATACATTTCAGTCATCTGATATAAACCTGCCCCCTAATGTGATTGGGACCTCCTCAAGGGCAGAGCCAAATCTCATCAATTTGGTAGTTCATTTTCTGGGACAATTTTTTTGTCACAGGGTAGACAATTACTGACATTTGTTGACCAAATCAAGTGTTGAAGTTAGCCCCCTAAAACCCCTGGGTCTCTTTTTTGACATGAACCGCTGTTAGTCTCTATCATTTCATTTCTCCCCGTGAGCGTTTTCCCAATTAGACTCCAGGGGTCTCTATTTTATACCCCGAATCCCACCTCTCCATTATGAAGGAAAACAGGTATGGGTAAGAAGAAATCAGCGGCAGCAGCGACCAGAAATTTACAAGAGGTTAAAAAAAATAAAGTTTCCATTCATATACAATAGAAAATGTGTGCCTGATACAGCAAATGTGAAATTAAAAGAGGATTCAAGTCACAGGCTGACTGTATCTTTTGCAAATTAACTGCTCAATAGGGATCTACTGAACTGATATCAGGTTACCAAAAACTCCAGCTAAAGCAGCTGATGCAAGAGTGGGTATGGGATGGCATTCAGAGAGCAGCAGGTGGGAAGGTCCCATGGGCAGAGAAAGCTTTAGGGAGAAGGGTTCCTCCCTACACGGCAAAGAGCTTCTCCTGCATTTCTGCTCCCTTTGTTCCTGGACATAAGAAGCAGGGGACATGGGGACAGGAGGACAGAAGGAACATCAAGCCTTCCCATTAATGAGAATGAATAGTTTGGGCCCCAGGGACAGATCACCTGTGGTTAAACAGGACAAAGAAGTCTCGTGCTGAAGGAGAAGTGGCCCAGGGGTGCTTTGGTGTCAGATTAGCCTGAAAATGAGAGACAAGGAGGAAGGCTCTGCCATCAGCTGGGTCTCAGGTGAGATTCCAGTTCACTTGCCAGGACCTGGGCTGGGGGCCCTCAGTAC